TTTTTTTTTTTTAAAAACAGAGGGGCGGGAGGGGAAGAAAAAAAAGAAAAGACTTTCGGTCGGCGGTATCTGTTTCGCTTCTGCTGTGCGAACGCAATCGAAAATAGGGCGGAAGAGAGACCAGCAATCACAACAGTAATAGCAACTCCAACTCCAGCAGCAGCAGCAGCAAGAAAAGGGGAAAGTGTTCTCGCGCGGCTCCCCCAGGGCCCAGGAACGAAGCAATGTCTGCACTGAAAAACATCAAAAGGCGAGCGGTTCAGAGGACACACCGACTGCAAGAGTGCGAGCGCGGTGGTGGGCGGGAACCACAGAAACGGTGCGCGAGGCGGAAGAAGAGACGGCAGGGAGGGAAAGAGGGGAACACGAGGGACGGCTGAAGGGCGACACACAAACGCGCGCACACACACACAGAGAAACAGACGATCGCAGCACACTTTCCACTCACTGTGACGGTCCTCACTGCTGTTGAGGTTCACATCCCGTTCAAACAGATCTATCGCTGCTCATTGACGTCCCTTCGATTCTTCTACTGGAGAACTGCTAGGCGTCACTCTACCTCTCTCTCTCTCTCTCTCTCTATGTTCTCCTATTTTCCTCTCCTGTTTGCGTTTTAGACTGCAGCCTTGTTGTGCTCCTGCNCTCTCTCTCTCTCTCTCTCTATGTTCTCCTATTTTCCTCTCCTGTTTGCGTTTTAGACTGCAGCCTTGTTGTGCTCCTGCGTGGCTGAGCCGGATTGGAACGTGTTAGTCTCCTCCCCCGCCCCCTCATCAGCACACTGCCGCGCGCCCATTCTCTTCTCCACTCCACCTGTGGGGAGCGGCACACTCTCCCTCTCTGTTTGTGTGTGTGCGTGTGCGTGTTGCTGCCCATATGCCGTAATCTTCGATCACGTTCATTAACGGCAACCTCCTGCGGAGCACGGCTCTGCGCCCGTCACCATCTTCGGCTCCTCTCCCGTCTGCCTTCATTCCCGCTTCACCTCTCATTATGTTTTCTCAGTCTGTAGCTCCAATGAGTATAGCCTCACCCTCCTCCACCACGTTTGTCCCGTCTACTCCTCTGCCAGTTGTATGCTCGGTTAATATCCCTCTTCCTTCTCTTCAGGTATTTTTGATTTTTTTTTCTTTGCGTGTATATTTTTTTTTTTTTATACTTGCTGCTGCTGATTTTTTTTGTTTGTCCCCCTGCACGTTGTCATCTTTTTTTTTCCCCTACTTGTATTCTTTTCAATGGGGCGGGCGTTGTTTCCAAATTCTTTTCGTTCCTCTGCTCCCCGCCCCCAAACTCTCATCCTTCTCCCGCAGACGCATTCTCCTCCTTCCCTCTTCCTTCCTTCTAGCAGCAGCCGCTGCTCTTGTTGCCGCCGCTGGTGCCGGACGTGCGGTTGGCACCGGAGAGCAGCGGCTTGTTGTTCGGGCCGCCGCACGCGCCGCCCTGCGCGACGACGCGCTTCTTGATATCCATCGCCATCCTCGTGAAGGCCTCCTCCACGTTCGACGAATCCTTCGCGCTTGTCTCGAGGAATGGGATGCCGAGGCTGTCGGCGAAGTCCTTCGCCACCTGCGTGTCGACCGCCTTCTTCACCACCAGGTCGCACTTATTGCCGACGAGCAGCTTGTTCACATTCTCACTGGCAAACTTGTCGATCTCAGAGAGCCACGTCTTGATGTTGTTGAAACTCTCCATGTCGGTTGTGTCGTACACAATGATGATGCCGTGTGCGCCGCGGTAGTAACTACTGGTGATGGTGCGGAAGCGCTCCTGCCCGGCGGTGTCCCATATCTGCAGCTTGATCATCTTGCCGTCGAGGTTGAGCGTGCGGATCTTGAAGTCGACGCCGATAGTACTGATGTAACTCTCCGTGTAGCTGTCGTCGGCGAAGCGGAGGAGGAGACACGACTTGCCAACACCGCTGTCGCCGATCAGCAGGAGCTTGAAAAGGTGGTCGTATTCGGACATGATATTACTGTTCTCGTTGTTCTTGTGGTGTTTCTTGGTTTC